CGTACCGGGCAAAGAATATCAAGGACAGCGATGCACACGGGACACAGCTATTGGATGGAACAGTATCACATTATTGTGGCGGTTTTAGTGGTGAAGCAGCAATGGGGACAAAAGAAGGGACGAGAAGCACACCTGTCCAAGACTCATCAAGCAAAACACTGCGTCTAAAAGTCACTATCAACAAGGGTCACATGATTGTCAGAGGGACCCGACGGCATTCTGAGGCGGAATAAAGGCGGCACTATCCGTATCCAGCTTTCAAACTCATGGTGACGAACTCACGTTAAAGGCACTGAGCGCACAACCGATAAACACGACTCGACGAGAGAATCGGTCACGTTTTCCTGTACGACACAGCACAAATGGCACCGCCAATTTCTCCACTCTCATGCACTTACCACACAGTACATGACACACGCTGGAATGCATGCAGCATGGACGTCAGTGCCGATGTTATACCATCGCAACACTTTGCCATGTGCCTTGGAGTATCATCTGCTGGGGCGCCGATGATGGCCTTGCAGGCCATGGGTGGGCGTATGGGGGCCCACAGGCCGGTGTAGCATGCATATGCTATTCTGGTGAAGGCAGCGAGTTTATATCGTCTGGGTCGGTGATCTCGTGGTGCCACTCACCGAAAACACAACCACGGATCCCATCGTTGGCTTGGGTTGAACACTTGGATCAATTGGAGCAAGAGGAACACACTAAAAAACCAACGAGCAAAGTATAAAACTAATGTATACCATACAACTGGGATAATTAAAGGAGCAGCAACCATGAACCAAGAAGATCTCTTTGACATCAATCACATAAGCATCGCATTAGCACATACCTTCAACATACATCATCAATGGTAAGTTATTCTCTGAATTATCTGAACGACATTAAAGTTTTGGTTGACCGATTATCTAACGCTATGTTTGTTTCGATCTTGTAGGGGAAGCAACAGACAAAATGAAAAAAAAAGGATGGAGCTGCCGACGCATATACAGTGCGGCTTTACGATAAACAGATGTAATCACCGACACATATACAGTGTGATTTACAATTCTGGATGCTATTTTCCCAAATCGCAAAAGCAAATTGCAGTACATACAAAAGGTACGTGAGGATTGCGAATACAAGAGGTTAAGACGAACATTTAAATGCAAAAACTGACAGGCGATCTTTGTTTCTCTAGGCTTTTAAAGCTATTAACATCAAGTTAAAGAGATTCATTGGTCATGTTTGCCGCTCCTTGGTTTATTTCATAAAGACTGATATATGCTTTCAGAACAATAAAGCTGCATATGTTTTACTCTCTGTACTATTATCACGCATTATAAATGAGATTCTTAGAATTTGAAGTGTCAATATATTGACTAGAACTTGTTACTGTATCTGTGTATGCGACAAGTCTTTTATGCTAGTGCAGAAGCAGTAGCAGCATAAAAATACAGCGTTTAAGCGACAACAGCACCGTCAAAGGACCATGGAGACTCTTCATATAATAGTATATGTATCATAAGATTCACACGAAGAGCGAATTTATTGACGGCCTCCGCCGAAATTGATGGCGGTGGTTGGGGAGACTGAAGACAAGAATAACACGCAAGGCATGGCTACATGGCAATAATGATAAAGAACAGCAGCAGTAGATACATTTTCTGCTTTTCTTAGAGTGATATGCTCCGCCACCGCGTATGTTAGTGTGCGAAAAGCTGGTTCAAGGACTGAGTTGTTCAACCGTTTACTGTACTGTCATTATCACTAGCGACGATTACATTCAGCTTACTTAGACATCCAAAGCTTTGCCTTTCCCACTGCGTCATTGTAGCCATACAAACGGTAATTCTATCTGCGATCGTGCTTTCATCATTTATTGGGCAGAGCTTGTTAAACAGAGGGTGGATTTTTTCTCAAACATCATTGCTTTAAATTTTCAATTGTACTATTACTCAAAGACAATGATAGCTTCGACGGCTTAAGTACGAGTACTGTACGGCACTGGCAAGACATATGATGACGCAAACTGCATGATGGTATTTATCAATTGAAGTCATGAAGAACCAGTGACGCGAAGATGGCCGTGAATGCCGGATTAGTACAGCTGTAGCAGTATTAGATGTATAGCATGACGACCAGTAATAGAAACAGTTATGTATAGGCTAAGTGGGTTAATTGAGCGAGAAGTATAGGTCACGATGAAGTAGTTATTTCAATTGATATTCATGTAAAGGATCGTTTTTGTATATTACATATGATACTTATTCTTTGCATAAACCAGGTCAAGAAGGTTGATTAAGAAACAAACAAAAAAGAAGATGGACAGAAAACCGATAGGATAGATTATTCTCTTTCTATTATATTCCCCCTCTATCTCATCTTTCCTGCAAGAGGATTAGCTACTATATCTTCCTTTCTTTCTTTCTAATTTTCCTTTAACCAA